CGCGTCGGACTGTCATGCCCAGAAACTGCGAATATGTGCGCGCCAGGCTCCGTGACCCAGAACTCTCGTTTTTCTGTCCGCCATGTTTTATTGAGTGCCACAACGTCCCATCGTGCGTCGGGAAGCTCCTGCAAGAGAAGGTCGATCGCTGTGTCGGTAATGAAACTCCGGGCGCTTTTGTGTATGACCGTGAAGTTCCTATCATAGTTGCTGCGTCGTGGAGTCGTGGTCGTGGTTTGTCGGGAGGCTGGTGTTGTGGCTGTCGCCGTCGGATAATGTGCGCCCAGCGTCGGCTGCTGGTGGCGAGAGCGCGTTGGTCGCAAGTCCCACGGTACGTCACCTTCTGCGTGGCTGCATCGTCCTCGTCCGCCGCCGGTGCTGGATTGAGGTAGTCGCTGTTGTTGCAATTGTAGATGCTGCTCCGGCTGCGGATGTAAATTCATGCCCGAGGGTGGAGATGAGAGTGGGATGTCGGATATTGGAGGCTGCTGGTCGGAATGCTGGGTTGGAGGGGCCTGGGAGTCGACAGATGGAGGTAGACATGTGGATGGCGGGCGCTGGAGGTCGATTGGTGGAGGTGGGAGTGGGGCGTCGGATGCTGGAGGCGGAGTCGCAGAGGACGAGGTCGGAGACGCCCGGAACGAATGATGATGACCATGTCCATGTCGAGGTTCCTTGTCAGCACAAGGAGTTGGATACCTTGCACGCGAATGTAGAACTGGCCGCAAGAGTGAAACCATGTCTTGCGAAGCCTTGGAGTGCATGTCGCTTGGCTCCGGGTCGTCAGGCAGATAATCAGGTAGCCGAGAACCGTGCTGATGATGCAGAGTCCTGTCTGGCACCTTGACGGCTTGCCTGGCCGCGACATGGGTGTCAATAGTAATCTGTGTATCATGTTCCCCCATTTTGTGAATCCTTTTGGGGGTTAGCGGTGAAACGTTTGGGTTTGGGTGGAGAGTCGGGTGCGTCGGGGCGGGGTTCGTCGGGTCGGAGACGGGGTTGAAACGAGAAGAAAGAGTGGGTTTGGGAGCGCCGTCCTGGGCGTAAGCGAAGTCGAAGGTCGGAGATAAAGCCGCATCTTCGCGCGCGTGTCGCCGATGATGCCGGTCGCCAGCAGCTCCTTTGGAGTACTTTGTGGCTCCGTGAAAGAATTGATTATATGGTGAAACGGTTGGAAACTGCCATCATTGTAGATCTCGCGCCGCTTTCCACTTCGCCATCGATGCTTGGACGCCTTCTTTGACGTCGTCTCCCTCCCCGTATGTGGTCAGCTGGCCGTCCTCGGTGACTTCTGCAATCAGCTTGCCTTTATACTTGATTGCACCTCTATCCCAAAATATGCGGATAGACTGCTGCGCAAGGCCCGTATTCATGAGCTGGTGCTTCACCTGCCCGAGTGTTTTGTCCACGCGGCGTTTTTCGATTGGGTCATCGTTTGTTGTACATAACTTGTCCCCATTTTTCCACTCGGCCTCCTTGCCGCGCCACTTTTTCAGACATCCTACTTTCCCGGCATGTGTCTTGAACTGTGCTATGCCCATGTTGCCCAGATCGCTGAAGGTGAATGTGCTGTCGATATTGTCCATGACGCTGATTTCGTTGAGAATGTCGGTCATATGCTGGGTGATGTCCTTCTCTGGGATCTCCGACTCCAGTCCACCGAAGATCACCTGTAAGTCCCTGTCGCTATCCTTGTAGATCATGGTGGAAGCTTTCTTCGTGATGGTGTTCCGTAGCTCGTTCGTGTCCTCATTGTTTCCCAACCATCATGTGGTGTTGGGTCCTCGTTTTGAAGAGACGGTGCCCCGCGTTCCTCTCCTCTCCTCTCCTCTCCTCTCCTCTCCTCTCCTCTCCTCTCCTCTCCTCTCCTCTCCTCCTCCTCCTCCTCCTCCTCCTCCTCCTCCTCTCCTCCTTCCTCCCTCCTCCTCCCCCTCCTCCTTCTCCTCCTCCCCCTCTTCCCTGCGTTTCACCCACCCAGTACAGCGCTTCGTAGCCCCATAGGAGCTCCACCGAAGGCCCCAATGCCCGCGCCCGCATGCGTCACCCACACCCAATTCGGCACACCCCTCACACGTTTCGTGGCTCCATAGGGAGCTCCACCGAAGGCCCCAGTGCCCGCGCCCGCATGCGTCACCCACACCCATTTCGGCACACCCCTCACACGTTTCGTGGCTCCATAGGAGCTCCACCGAAGGCCCCAGTGCCCGCGGCCGCATGCGTCACCCACACCCATTTCGGCACACCCCTCACACGTTTCGTGGCTCCATAGGGAGCTCCACCGAAGGCCCCAGTGCCCGCGCCCGCATGCGTCACCCACACCCATTTCGGCACACCCCCTCACACGTTTCGTGGCTCCATAGGGAGCTCCACCGAAGGCCCCAGTGCCCGCGCCCGCATGCGTCACCCACACCCATTTCGGCACACCCCTCACACGTTTCGTGGCTCCATAGGGAACTCCACCGAAGGCCCCAGTGCTGCCGCCCGCATGCGTCACCCACATCCAATTCGGCACACCCCTCACACGTTTATTGGCCCCATAGGAGCTCCGCCGAAGGCCCCATTGCTGCCGCCTGCATGCGTCACCCACACACAATTCGGCACACCCCTCACACGTTTCGTGGCCCCATAGTAGAAGCTCCGCCGAAGGCCCCAGTGCTGCCGCCCGCATGCGTCACCCACACCCATTTCGGCACACCCCTCACACGTTTCGTGGCCCATAGGGAGCTCCACCGAAGGCCCCAATGCCCGCCGCCCGCATGCGTCACCCACACCCATTTCGGCACACCCCTCACACGTTTCGCGCCCCATCAGGGAGCCCACCGAAGGCCCCGGCGCCCGCGCCCGCATGCGTCAGCCCGCCCCCGTTTCGGCACACCCCTCACACGCTTCGTGGCTCCATAGGGAGCTCCACCGAAGGCCCCAGTGCCCGCGCCCGCATGCGTCAGCCACGCCCATTTCGGCACACCCCTCACACGTTTCGCGGCCCCATAGGGAGCTCCGCCGAAGGCCCCAGTGCCCGCGCCCGCATACGTCAGCCACACCAATTTCGGCACGCCCCTCACGCGTTCCGTGGCCCCATAGGGAGCTCCGCCGAAGGTCCCAGTGGGTGTGCCCGCATGCGTCCTGCACACCCATTTCGGTACACCCCTCGGCCCCAGTGCCCGCGCCTGCATGCGTCAAACACACCTATTTCGGCACACCCCTCAAACGTTTCGCGGTCCCATGGGGAGCTCCACCGAAGGCCCCAGTGCCCGCGCCCGCATGCGTCAGCCACACCCGTTTCGTCAACCCCCTCACACGTTTCGTGGCCGCATAGGGAGCTCCACCGAAGGCCCTAGTGGGTGTGCCCGCATGCGTCCCGCACACCCATTTCGGCACATCCCTCGCACGTTTCGTGGCCCCGTAAGGGGGCTCCACCGAAAAGATATTCACAATTGCAGTATTCACGATTGCATATGGTTGGGTCCTTCGCCAGGATAATTTTGGTGATCATTTTGCTGATGTCGTCAACTTGCCCTTGTAGCTGCGTTGCTGCTTCCATTGCTGAAGTCGCCGTGGTGGATGCTAGATTTGCGGTGTCGCGGAGATCGCTGATGTCAGTCGAGCGCAGGCGCACCATCTTGTAGAGATCGACGAGGATCTCCCTGTCCGACATCTTGGAGAGGTCGGGGTCGTTGCCCTTTTTGTGCTTGCCCTCCGGCGATTGACCCACTGCAGGTGCCTCCTTGCGGATCATTCCAACTTTCCCGGCATGTGTCTTGAACTGTGCTATGCCCATGTTGCCCAGATCGCTGAAGGTGAATGTGCTGTCGATATTGTCCATGACGCTGATTTCGTTGAGAATGTCGGTCATATGCTGGGTGATGTCCTTCTCTGGGATCTCCGACTCCAGTCCACCGAAGATCACCTGTAAGTCCCTGTCGCTATCCATGTAGATCATGGTGGAAGCTTTCTTCGTGATGGTGCTCCGTAGCTCGTTCGTGTCCTCATTGTTTTTGGTGATCGTTTTGTTGATGTCGTCAACTTGCCCTTGTAGCTGCGCTGCTGCTTCCATTGCTGAAGTCGCCGTGGTGGATGCTAGATTTGTGGTGTCGCGGATATCGTTGATGTCAGTCGAGTGCAGGCGCGCCATCTTGTAGAGATCGACGAGGATCTCCCTGTCCGACATCTTGGAGAGGTCGGGGTCGTTGCCCTTCTTGTGCTTGCCCCCCGGCCCTGTAGCCCGGTATATATATATATATATATATATATATATATATATATATATATATACATATATATATATATATATATATATATATATATATATATATATATACATACATATATTATATAATATATATATATATATATATACTTGGGGTTGGGGGGTGAGTGCGAGGTGAAACGGGGGCCCCCCCTACCAAGAAATCGATTTCGGTTCCGGGTTCGTGTCGTGCGTGCCGTGCGTGCGGGCGAGGCGAAGCTGCGTGGGCGCGAGAGGAAATCCTCCTGGCTGGGCCGCGGCCGGACCAAATGTTCTTTCGGCGGCCGGTGGCCCGCGGTGTCCCGCTGGTGTCCCGAAATCCTCCTGTGGCTGGGCCGCGGCCGGACCAAATGTTTCTCCTCCGGCGGCCGGTGGCCCGCGGTGTCCCGCCAGTGTCCCGCTGGCTGGGTAGTCGAAGCCAATCTGGCGCCAATCTGGCAGGCCCAATCTGGCAAACGGGGGCAATCTGGCGAGGGAGCCAACGCGAATCCAGTCTGGCGAATAACCCAAATCATCCAGTTTGGCCGGGCCAGATTGGCCCTGGGGGCTCAATCCAATCTGACAGTCTGGCCTTCGACGACCCAGGCTGGTGTCTCGAAATCCTCCTG